GATTTCAAATAGTTGACTGCTGGTCGGTCAGAATATAGGCTTGAGAATACAAGGGTTAGTGTTGTAAGGGTTCTTGCGCCCTTTTCTTTTTAATACAAACTACAAAGGTATGCAGCCCTCTGGCGTGTTTGAGAAAACAAAAGAATATAAGCTTGAGAATCATTTGACATTGTGCCCCTTTTAGTGTTGACTTACTAATACCTTTTTGAATACACCATTTTGTGCTAATGGAATAATTATCGGGAACTGTGGTTCACATACTCTTTGATGGTTGGCTGGAAGAGGCTGTTGATACCTTTTTAGAATCAATGCTATTGTGAAGTGAGTGATGGAAGATACGTAAGTATTCTGTATATAAGAAATTGTTTGTACATAAAGCACCTACCTTTTCAGATTGCTTTAGGAAACCAACACCAGATTGCTAATAGGGTCACACAAGAGGTATGGTCTGACAGTGCACATAAATTGGAGGGAAATATGATATTCAGATATTCAATTTACATACCTACAGTCCATCCATGGGTAGCCTAACCCTGTTGTGTTTGCATGGAGTGCCCTTTGGACCTCAGGGCGATTTAGGTAAGAGGAGACATAGTGGTTTGTGCATGGATCACCAAACACTAACTGAAATAGTAAACAAAAGTTTTAGTATACCAAAAATTCATATAGAAATGGAAGTTAAAACATCTGTCAATCTGTGATGTGAAATTTATGTCTGGTGTTGTATACCGAGTCACTTGATTTATAAGGGTTTGAGGCATTGTGGCATATTGGTGCATAGATGTCATAGTCATCAACATTTCCTTTTTCCTGGATAACTAAGTTCATGGCATTTAGACAGTCTTTAGTGTATGTCCCATTAAAGCTGCACTTATCCTTGATGGCTGTATAAGCTTTTCCAGAAATGATAGCATGCATCCAATAGTAGTCATATGTTGCTCTTAGAGTCAAATTATCATCCAAGTCCGCATTTCCAATCTGTTGAAGTTTACAGTGTTACCATGATGAGAAATTTACCAAATTATAAGTTTCAAATCAGTTAAGACTGAAAACTTACCGCAACACCTTTAAGCTTGACACTGGTTACATTGGTTGCTCTATTCTTAGAAACAATCAGATTAGCAAGCTCTGGTATATAGTGACCTGCGTAGCTCTCACCAGCTATGAAGAAATCACGGTCCCGATACTCAGGAAAATTCTCTAGCCAAGTAACAAGAAAGGTATATGCATCATCTGTTGTTCTTTGGTCACCAGTGTTATAATAATCGGATGTAGTGTTTGAATATGAGTATCCAACACCAGCTGGGATCTCGATGAACAACATGTTGGCCACTGCATTCATGAATGAACAATGGAATATCAGTATGGGTGTTAATCCAACTAACTTTATTTACTCCCTTTGCTTGAAATTATAGTTTACTTTAGTTTTGTCCTAAGCTTTAATTTTGACCAAGTTTATAGAAAAAATGTATCGACATCAATAGTATTAAATTAGTTTCATTAAATTTCCATGAAATATGTCTTGGTAGTGCATTTATTTGAACATGTAGATGTTAATATATTTTCTAAAAACTTGATCAAAGTTAGAACAAAGCTAAAGTGAACTATAATTTGGAGCTGAGGAAGTAACTATTAATCAAGTGAAGTTTAAAGCGGATGTTACCTCTGTTCCATGCATGCTTTTTCTTGTACAGTGTCTTGTTGTCACTATGGACAGAGAAAGGTCCAAGTTCAAGCATGGCCCCAGATCCAAAGGATGAACAGCCAGGCCCTGCAGATACAGTAAGTGTTTCATCTTATTCTTTTCAAACTAGGTGTCTTGCTGTAGTATTGCAAACATGGATGATGTATGTTCGAGAATTATGTACGTGTTTTTTCCAGTTGTTTGTTGACCCTCATTATAGCAAGTAAATAGACCTAAAAAGAATTATAACAGCATGTTGAAGAAATAACTCTACAGGACATATGAGCTGCCCCTGTTTATGCAGTAAAATTTGCTACAAATTGCGATGAACACAGCCAGCACATACCTCCATTCAGCCATAGGACAAGCGGTTTGTCTGAAGGATCTTGAGGAGCCTCAACAAAATAGTAGAACAAAGCCCTTCCAGCCTTTGCATCCACCGTCACATATCCTGCATATTGGTCAAACTCTGCTACCCCTGTTTGCCCTGGCATACATACGATCTTATCCTGCTCCCGTTGATTGTTTGTTGAGCCTCTATGCACTGAGGGACTGGTTCCATTCTTGGGAGTTGAATCTTGTTTTCCTTGAACATATTTCCTGGATATTTTCAATTGATTGAACTCAAGAGGTTGGTTGGCCTGGTTTCTAGTGTCTGTGTTTGCAACACTGAAGTAGAACAAGGACCAAAGTATCAGGAGGCCTCTTTTCATCTTGATAGGATGCGTGTGCATTGGTGTTTGGTGTCTTGGGCTAGGTTGCCATTGGTCAATCTTTATTTATAGAGGGGACATTCTGTTTGCAGTACAGTTGAAGAGTCCTCCAAGGAAACCATAATATGATTGATTCTTTGACTTTTTCCGTGCAAGTTGGACTTAAAGCTCTTAGCATTCCATTTCATTTGGCATCTATATTTGTAGTGCGAATGACATTCATTTAAAATTCTTAGTTCCTTTTGGGGACTGCGACCTAACAAAGTCATCAAACTTCCTAGAAAGGTACAATAGCTATCTCTGGCTCAATTATATCACTATATGGGAAAGAAAAGGAAAAGGTATGCAAATCAGATTGAGGGTGCCTCATCCATGGCAACATTGATTAAGTGTACTGTGTGTATCTTGATCTTTTGACTTTATTTTGCTACCTCCTCATAAGCTTCTTGTTTACTCAATTGTTTTCTGCCAAGATTCCCAGGCATCTTTACTTTGATGTGCTTTCCTTCTGTGGTCTGTAGTCCAAACAAAGGGGTTGCACTTGCATCCGTTGCTTCTTCTGACTGCCTTTTAACAGGAGTGCTGTAAACTGTAAAAGCACATTTGAAGAAAAAACCATTTGATAATCCAGCGACCCCTGAGAGCTGGGTGAGGTTATTATCCTAGAGAAATTTGTTGTTTCCTAGTTTCTGTGTGGTTTGACTTGTTATTCTATTAAATTCAGGCTCTACTTTTGTTGATAAAAAAGCTGTGGAATTTAATTAGGATTCATGATTCTTTTGTGGTTTCAATTGGTTTAGGTGAAACTAATCACAATGATGTTGCAACAAATTGCTAAGTCAAGTAAACATCTTGATACCCACTACTCAGAGGTGACTTATGGCTCAAAAAAAAAAAAAAACTCAGAGGTGACTTGTTGATAGCATCTGGTCAGCGCCATTCACTGTATTGAAGCATCGGCAGTTGACATCTTGTCATTTCCACTTCAATTAACTTTTATATGTTGCTTCCTTCTCATACATATCTTGGAAAGAATTATTTGATCAACCTTCCAAGTATGTGCGCACATTCCATTTTGTTCTTGTGGTGTGGCTTTCAAGCAACCTGCCTTTTCATCTGAAACTTTCCTGCAGAAAAGGAAGATTCCAAACTTGAGCTGTGAGCATAGAACAGCTATTTTCACCAAACTGCCATTGACTGTTGACAATAGCCCCTCTTCTTCAGGAAAAGGGAACCTGAAAAATAAAATGTTTTAGGAAAGGGATAGTCTCCTGGTGTCATTTTTCTTTCTGGTTGTGTCCAAATTCATAACATTGCTATGCTGTCTCTGAATAGAGCATCTCTTAGCTTAAATCCGTGCGGGCATCATATAACCATTGTGTTGGCACATTTCAACGTTCTTTGTTTTTTCTTTCCAGTTGGTGGTCATGCACTGAGTGGACCCACTCTTTTTGGACTTAGATTAGAGTTGAAAAACGAGTTGATGGGACAGGAAGAATCAACTTTAGAAGGGAATCCCACTTTCTAGTAGTGCACATAGCAAAATACCTTCCAAGACAACACATATTGTCAAAGAGAAGTGAGCAAGAGGAAGGAAGATGTAAATAGAGCAAGGCTACCAAGGCAGCAGGGAAAATTCCCCCCTGTTGGTATTCTGGTCCCTTATGAGTTCATATGCATAATATTACATTATTACGAATAAAGAAAAACTCATATAGTCAAGTTTAACTCTGCCAAAAAAAAAAACCCTATGAAAATCATCCTCCAGTGGCCATGCAAAAAGGATTCCCCAACACCAATAGGGGCAAAGTCAACTATTTCTTTTTTGGTCCGTTTGACTTCTGTAGGTTGCAGATTGGGAAGGAACCTGCCATACTTTTCTTGAGCAAACCAAGGCGCCCTCTGCTGTTTGATTGCTTGATGGACGTCTTGGATAAAGAGTTAGATGTTGTTAGAGAATCATCTTGTCATACAACAGTGAGGGAGACCTTAGTGCACCAAGTATAAGAATTAAGAAGCTAGTCCCTCACTCCCTCTTATTCAAAAGTATGTCGTTTCTGAATTCCTGCAGATCAAACTTTTTAACTGTGACCATCATGACTAAAGCACTTACGTAATGTTTAAATATCTTTATTTGAAATGCCATATTTCAAAAGAAATTGTTAGCTGATCTCATATTGTAGATCGTGTCATTACCCTAAACATCATTTCTTTTGAATCGAAGGGAATATTTAGCTTATGCCGGTAATGTTGTTTAATGATAATAATTGTACATTTTTAGCTACTTTGTTCTCCTTGATAAAGTCTGCATTTCATCCAACTAAAATTGATTGGAACCACACGAGAAACATCCACAAACCTACACCGTCCACTATATCCTGGAAGCATAATTTTGTTGTTTTTAGTGAAACTCGAAACATCGAAGAATAATAAGTTATAAGAAGTTTGTATCTGCCACAAAAACCATTTCGATACAAGTATTTCATCAAAATTGTTTAGGTTGGACTTTTTGTAGAAATTGGATGATTCAGAACGCAGTGTTGGTTCTTTGTAATAATCTCAATGGAAGCAAGTATACTATGTTTCTATTATTTTTTCTGCAATCACTCAGGTGGCAGCTTCCCATTCAGGAATGACGAGAACAAGGTGAGCGCTCTTTGGGGTTGGTAGGTAGGAACCATATGTCCAGCTCCTCGGACTGTTGCGAATATCTGACCTTTGTACTCAACAACATAGCCTCCAACCTGCTATCTCATAAAGAAACAACTTCAGAATCTTATATGGCAATAAATTGTTATACAATATCGTTTAGTTTGTTCATACCTCACCATCATCAGAATACCATGCCCGCCGTGATGAATTTATCTTCAGCCCCAGGATGTCTAGTGAATACAGCGTTGAAGTTACTGGGCAAATGGCATCAATATCACCACTGAAAGGTAAAATAGATCATTTCTTAGTAGTGTGGTTTAAGCAGACATAGAGATTAAATAAACTTTTAGAGTGTGTTTGCATGAAGGGAATTGCTTGAGTCTTATTTTTTGGATTTCAATCAAAGTTTGAACTGATCCTAAGGATTTGGATCCAAATGACCTGTATCCAAACAGGCACTTCACAATGCTTGTGGACTTACCTATACAGCAATGTGCTAACTCCACTTGAAATTAATTGCTGAATAGATGGTAACATAGAGACTTGGACATCTTTCCAATTATATATATAAAGAACAAGAACAGGAACAGGAACAGAGCAGAGAAAAAAACCCAGAAAAGGAAGGAAAAGAAAACAAAAGGGAAGCTAAGAAGACAAACAAGATGGAACCTAGCCATTCACTAATAACAGGGAGATAACTCTTCTTTGATGATGCATAAATCCATGCTTAAACTTTAATGCTTGTGAACTTACCTATACAGCCATGTGCTAACTCCACTTGAAATTAATTTCTGAATAGATGGTAGCATAGAGACTTGGGCATCTTTCCAATTTTCAGGAGAAAAGATATTACTGGTGCTCAGAAATAATACAGAACTTGGTTAACTGACTTAAGGCTAAATTTTATTAAGAAATACTTGCAAGAATATCAGCTATGTTGTTTCACCTGCAATCCGACCATGGTTGTTTCAATCTTGTGGTGTTAGCATGAAGTGCTCTCTGCACCTCTTGGCGGTTCAGATACGATCGCATATAGTAACTGGCACAGGGGTTATTGTTGGTTACCTGCAACACTATACTGTGAGTTAGGGAGAAGTTGAACTTGTTTAAAATCTCCGAGAACACTTATACCGAGGCATGCTGCTTTTGGGGATCAGAAGCATCCCAGCAGAACGGTGGATAGATGTTGGATTCATCGATAAGGCCCTTCTCATTGTTAGCGGCTTCTATCGTGGTTCTACAGAGTCCTGTGTATGTTCCATTAAAGCCGCAATTTTCCTGGACTGCGGTGTGAGTTTCTTTGGAGATCATAGCATGTGTCCAGTAGTAATCGATGGTTGCTCTTGTGTTTGTGTCATCATCCAGGTATGCATTCCCAACCTGTTCCCACAAGTAAAGGATTAGAATGTAATATGGTATACACTGACTCAATATCCTTTGTCGAAAACTTACAGCAACTCCTTTGAGATTGATCATAGTGGTGTTCATGATTTTGTTATTTGACAGAATAGTGTTGGCGAGCTGTGGTATGTAGTGGCTGCCATAACTTTCACCAGTTAAAAAGAAGCTGTGGCCCTTGTACTCTGGGAACCTCTCAAGCCAATTGATGAGGAAAGTATATGCATCTGCTGCAGTGCTCCTGTCACCAGTGTTATTGTAATCTGATGTTCTGATCGAGTATGAGAAGCCAACACCAGCAGGGCTCTCAAGGAAGAGCATGTTTGCCACTGCCATCGAGAAATAATCAGTAACACGGAGGTATTCTAAGTGTAATTGTCATAAATAACTGCAATTAACATACCATTTTCCATGCATATTTGTTTTTGGACAGTGTCTTGTTATCTCTGTTGACGAAGAATGGCCCAATTTCATGCATAGCTCCTCCCAGAGAAGAGCAACCAGGCCCTGAAATTTCACGGTAACTCTTTTTTAGTTGTAAAGAATATCTCGCGATAAAATTGTCAGCCATATGTTTTTTCAGGGACATATTTGCTAAATATGCTAAGGGAAGGATAACTTGTGATTACTTAAGACCAGCAGCCAAGGAGCCCAAGTGTGAAATATACACACTAATAAAGTAATTGTTAGCATTTAGTGTGACAGATCTATTACAGATAAAACACTCTGTTATCCAAATAGGAAGAGTAATCCTCAACCTTCCACTTTAGGCAAGCAACACAGAAATATGTCCTGGATATCTTAACGTTTACATAAAAACATAAAGCAGAGGGATAAGGGATGCTAGGGAGAGTGCCACCAGGACCAGATCAAGTTTAGATGGACAGATATTTGGTTGCCCTAGCTTTAGAAAGATTTCATCCACTTTGAACTCCCATTCGATGTGCGTCATCTTTTCTCCTCATCCTACCTGATGCCTCTGCCATCTCTCTGAGCCACCATTGGAGATCTCACAATATCACCTCCTCTCTCTGTTCTAATCTTGCATGTTTCCTGCTTACCTTCCTCCTTTCCTCTACTTCTGACTCCTCCCTCTCCTTCCTTGCGTCCCCATGCTGCTTCCCTATTCCACCCACTCCATCCTCTTGTCTCCATCTCGTGCCGCCTCAGCATATCACCATTGCCGCTGTCCCCTCCCATGCCGCTGGAAAACTTTGACAAAACTTCACTGTTTTTCAGTATGCTTATTTATTCTTCAACAGAAGCAAGATGTTTAAAATATCATAGATTAGCCTACCTTATTATACTGAAATGTGTAAATGGTTTTCTCACTTACTGATTCGAGTTCATAATTAGGTTGATTAATTGGAAGCTTTCTATAGTTGATTAGTTGAGATCTTGGTGGCAAGACAAGTATGGTTCAAATTATTCACTCCATTGAACCTAGCAGATTCAGTCCCTCGACAAAACGAACTGAGTTTTGCTGACTGGTGGCGCAAGACGATGAGCAGAGTTAGCAAGGAGCACGGGAAAGGAGTGAACTCTTTAATTATTCTAGGGGCCTAGATTATTTGGAAACATAGGAATGCATGTGTTTTTGAGGGGGCTTCTCCTTTGATTAGCATGATTTGGAGTGAGCTGAAGAACGAGCACAGCCTCTGGTGCATGGCTGGGGCGAAGAAGCTTCAAGGGCTAGGACTAGCGCTTGCAGACTAGTCCTTTTAGCTAAGGTCGAGTCGTGTTTGTTCACTATGTGTTTAAATCATGATTCTGTGTAATCGCCTCACTCATATCTGGTCCCGTATGAGTGAGGATCCTGTTGGGGACCCCACCTTTTTTCATCTCTATAATACAATGAAACGCAGCTCTCCTGCGTTTTCAAAAAAAAAGTAGTTGAGATGTTGAGAACTAGTTCATCAGGCTTGGTACTAGGAACTATCAAATTTGGACACAGCCTGCCTTGATAACTTCCTTTAAATCAAGCTTCTCTTGTATCATTTTCTACAGATGAGAGGGTTATAGTTCATCCGTACTACTGTATTCTTCAACTATTTAAAATACCTTTTTATCCTCTCCATTTGATTGCCATGCCACATTATCCTTATCAGTGATATCAGATGATGAAAAGTATGTTCCAATATATTAGTGTGCAATTCAGTTACCAGAAAACAGAAAAAGAAAGAAGATGCTTATGATTGAACAATGACCTGAGTTTATCCAGGGATTGAAAAGCATGCATTGAACAATACAGAACTTCAAGTTTTATTTTGAACCTACAGAACTTCAAGTTACTGAACACAAGAATGGCAATGAAGGTTTCAGGCTGCTGTTGATATTTTGATACCCAATTAGTTATACGTACTAAATCAATTAAGGTTTTACAGGTTGGGAGTTGGGAGGGTCTTAAAATTAAAGCCTGTTATGCGGCGTCAAGGATTGGTGTGCTCAACAAAGTATCTACTTCGAGCATTGTGCTTAGGTTAGTTGGCTTAACAATAGAATAATTACATGTGCCCTGTTTGTATAAGCAAATAATAGACAGCATTCCATTTCAACAAGATAAGGTTGATACTAGGTATGATAGACTGTCAGCTTCCATTGTTCTTTGTCCTTTAGGCATTCTTGGTAGTAGTGACCTTCACAAGCAGCAACGAACGCAATCAACGATGAATTCTTCCAATAAATGGCTGTGGATGTTTTGTATTTGCTAGGCCTAGCAGGAGAGAAAAAAAACCCTACTATCTGGCACTGATTTGTAGCAAATTCCTACTGTTTTTTTTTTCCAATTTTGAACCTTGAAATCATGCTTGTATCAAATGGATGGTCAGGGCAATCTTCCCATCCCTTTTTGGTAGACTAACAAGATCAAATAAAACAGCAGGCAAGCAGAGCATAGAAGCACACTTGTATGATGAAAAGGTAAAAATAAACCACATACCACATACAACTGGTTAGTAGGCACAGGACCAATGGCTTGGTAGATGGATCTTTAGCAGCCTCTGCAAAGTAGTAAAAGAGGGCCTTCCCAGATGTTGCATCAACCGTGACATAGCCGGCATACTGATCAAAGGCGGCCTTCTCCGGCTGCCCAGGAAGCTCGATCTTATCAGCCTTCTTCAACCCATCTCGCAGACCCACATATATTGGACGATCCATGCTCCAACTCGTAAGCATTTCATTGTCTAGACGATCATGTTACATCTCCATTCTTGACCTTGAAAACTCCTGCAATCGGCAAGCCTCATCGGCAAGTGATATTTGCGCGAGCACAAGGCTGAACAATTGGATGACAAATGCATCTCTTCTGATCTTGGAGACCAAAGGAGAACAACGCCTATGACAAGAATTGGACATTGCTGATGCTGTTTGTTTGGCCTACTCTGGATGGGTCACAAGGTTCTTATATAGAGGGGACCATATATGATATTTGTCCCGTTGGGTTCTTTGATTAGAAATAGATACACTGGGATACTGGATCATGCCAAGGATATGACTAAATAACAACCATGAGGCAATAAATGATTCTTGAATGGACATAGGTACAAATATGTAGTGTCTTGATTGTTTAAATCTTGTGTTTCAAAATTTAATACCTTGCTCGATTAGTTGGGTTCATCCAGTGGTAAAATTAAGTTGTATTATATAAAAATATAACATATAAAACGTCGGTTTGCCTGTGAGTTGCACCGTGAGTTATCAGGGAATACTTTGGTACTCTGAACTTTATTGGGATGTGAATGGTGCGGCATCTGTTGCATCCAAACACAAGTGGGAACGAGGAGTTTGTGCACGGAGCACTGAATTTTGCATGTAACTGTATTATTAGATCTGCATCATCGTTCTTAATTAAGAGTATTTCCTAGCACTTAAATTTCTCTATTCATATATTTTGCAGTATCGGTCAAGCAAGAAGTGACCATACATAGCGACTGAAATGACGGGAATCTGTATTGTTAATTAAAGAGCACATAAATCATAAGAGAGATTGGCCATGCATCAGCATCAGGTATCTTGTTCTATTCTTTTCTCCCCCTCGTTCTGGCTCCACAGATTCAAAGAGACATCGTCCATTCGTGCTGCTATTGTAGGATAAAAGATGCCTCATGCTGCGTGATCCGAATATATATATTTTCCCAGCTTCTTTATCTAATGGGGTCTACATAATAATGCACTTGTTCTGTACATGGTTCAAATTGTGGTACTAGTAATTAGTACTCCATCCGTTTCAAATTATAAGACGTTTTGGATTTTGTAGATACATCTTGAGCTTATCAGCCAAAATCAGCACTACTTTTCAGTCATGGAATAGTATTTTCATTTCACAATAAATCAGCATCAGCAGCAGCCTAAAATCAGCCAGCCGAACAGGGTGGTGTATATATAAGTGCACAGCAAAAGCTATGTATCTAGAAAAATAAAAACATCTTATAATTTAGAATGGAGGAAGTACTTTTGGCCATCTTTTTGAATGCACAGTGACTGTTAGGTCTATTATTCTTTTGGTAAGGTGGATACTAGCTGAGTAAAGCTCTGCCGGTTGAAGGCGTATAAATATTCTAGTTCTAAGAAGCAGTGCTATGACGTTATAATCTAGACAATTTGTTAATTAAAGAAAAAAAGGACCACATTTCATATTGGACTTTGGGCTAGGTATTCGGATAACAGAAAATGAAGTGGCATGGAAAAGCATATTTAATTTTTGAGATTTGAGCTGCAAATTCAGCAGCAGCTTGTTCCAGGCGTCAATGGGATTGGGCAAGATTTTTTAATCGGCCACTGGATCACCGATAGCAGGTTATCGGCTATGAACTGTTGGTAAGTTGTGCTGTTGAATTACCGATTGGTTCTATACCGGGTACAGCTTCGGATGCACGTATTCCGGCCTCTGTCTTCCTCAGCCTGCTGGCTGCTGCTATGCAGGTAGGGGATGTCTGGCCGGCCGGGCAGCTGGGGGTCACCGCAGGCGGCCGCGCCACCAACGCGCCGGTGGCTGCCCCGGTTTCCTCCTGTTTTAGCAACGTAGTAGGCAGTAAGTATTGAAAATGGCAATGGAGTTACCTCCGTCGTCTTCATGAAATATAAAGGAATTGAATCATTCAAATTTTTATCCTAAATTATAAAATACTTTAGGCCATTATTAATTCCCCCGGAGCACCGTGTACCTGCTATTAATATCTATCACCAAGCTCAAATACGATAAGTACAAAAATCTCTTCATAGTTATTATGTGTAGTTTTTTTTTAACTCGTAATCTGTTCTATGATTTCTAAGGTATCTTGAATTTTAGGGCAGAGAGAGTAGTTAGAAAACTAGGTATCCACTGTTATTAAAAATGAAGAGAGAACAATTACAATAAAACGAATAAACAAAACTATGTATAAAAGAATATTTACAACTAGTTACCTACTATTTGAGCAGACAATCTTACTAATTATATATCAGAAAAACAAATCCATGTCAAATGGCATGCCCTCTGTTTGATTTTTTTTTAAATGACATGCCCTCTGTTTGAGCTCATTTTGCAACCGAAGCTTTAAATCGGACTAATATGGTGGACAACTAAATCTGATTAGGTATGTTATCCGGCAAAAGGAGTTCATATACCACACGACATAGGGCAGTAGCGAAGGGAGTCACCATCCCTGCTGAAAAAGGAGGCACCCCGTCAGATCCGAACTTATTCCGAAGTCATGGACGAGGTCGGCGTATGCCGATGCGGCAGCAATGGCCTGCCTTTGTCAATAGTCAACGCCCACAGCTAATCCAAGGATCAATGAATCAACTCATATACATTTCACAATTCACGCAAGCTAAACTACATTAGCTCAACATAAAGATAACAAACCATGAACGAACGAGCAGGATGATATAACCTGAAATTTTTACTGTGGTTTCTAAACAAGTCTGGTTCATATCAATCTGCTCTTTTTAAGAACCGGATAGTACACTTTTACAACGAACAGTAACAATGGTTTCCCCATCCATCCATTACCCTGTACTTTGTATTCACAGTCGTAGGGACACATAGCTACGGAGTACAATTCATAGAGGACAATCCTTCTTCTCTTTCCAGTGATCGGATCTGACCTAGCTAGCTTCAAATTCTTCCAACAGGTGTGGCTATGCTTCATGCAGTTGATCTTTCCGTTTCTTGGATTAGTAGCAAAGCAAACAGAATAAATATGTCCATTCTAGATGCTGTCAAATTTGATCTCAAATTAAGTCAATCAAGTTAACTGCTTGCTTAAGATCCATCTCCTCCGATCGATTCATGACATTCATCGATAGGAATAAGACAATAATAATACAATATTTTTGATTCTTTACCCTACAATGTCCCCTAAACAACACTTCTGCAAATCCTCCAAACGCACAATTGGATCTGTACATGATTTTTATTACGAAATGATACCTGTGTTATACAACAACAGCGACAAGGAAGGCAAACCTGGGGACAAGGCAATCCGGTGACCCCATACCATACCCTCAGGCGCAGGCGCAGGGGTTGTCGACGACGACGAGATCCTCGCCGTCGCTGCTGCGGAACGCGAGGTACCCGAGCGCGAGGCCCACGACGACGGCGATGAACACGCCGCCGTTGAACGACATGACGGCGAGCATGAGCAGGTAGCCGAGGCAAGAGTTGACCCCGAACATCGCGGCCACGGCCACACGCGCTGGCCAGCGCCCGGCCGCGAAGGCGGGCGCGAGGAGCGGCGTCCGCGGGTCGGAGCTGGCGGGTGGCGGGATGGAGGAGGCTGCCTTAGCCTTAGCGCCGCCTCCTCCTCCTCCCGCGACGAGCTTCATGCGGACCCGCAGGGCCTCGAGGTACTGGTAGAAGGCGGCGGCGAGGAGCAGGACCACGAGGGAGAGAAGGTAGCCGGCCCACGTGGAGGTGCGCCAGCCGTCGAATAGGATCGTGGCCGACTTGCCCCAGTAGAAGGTCATGTGCATCATGTTGGCCGGCGGCGACGGCGGAGAAGGAAACGATTGGGACTTGGGAGGGAGCGGCGATGGGAGGAAGGAGGATTGGGGAGGAGCGGCGATGGGAGGGAGGAGGAGGATTGCCGGCGAGGAGAGAGACCGGTGAGATTTACGGTGGGTGGAGGATTGCCGGCGAGGACAGAGACCGGTGAGATTTTAATAGAGGGAGGGATACGGTGGGTGCGGCATGAGGCACGCCTTTTGGGTCCATTTAGAGCCTTCTGGCAGGGTTCTGCAGGGCCTGCAGCTCCAGTTTTAACAGGAGATGTGCCAAACGTCTATATTGAAAAGGGTTCTATATGAAAAGCCGGTCAAGAGCTGGAGCCATTTTTTAATCTGCGCAGGAGAAATCTAACAAACGAGCTTGGCGTGGCTCCTTACGGTGAGTTCACGTTGTCTAGTGCGAAGAAACCGTTCTGCCAAACATTTTCAGAACAGCTTTAGCTCCTCCAGAGAAGTTGCTCCTTCAGAGAAGCCAGAGCCGGAGCCATTTTTAGAGAAGTCAGAGCTCTACCAAAAACAGGACCTTAATTACATCCGAGCCACTGGAAATCTGGAATCGGGTCGGTTACAAGTAGAGACACGAGACACGACTAAGCGAGGCATTCTCCGCCCACGCGGCCACGCCGCCATCCCGGCCCGCATCCGGGACACCTTCTTCCGGCGGTTCCACGGCACGCGACTCCTCCCCACCGGGGCGCGGCCCGGGGAGCCGCATCCGCACCTCGTCCTCGACGACCACCTCGCGGGGCTTGAGGCGGCCTGCGTCGCCGACATCACGATCGGCGCCATCACGTGGCCGCCGAGCTCGACGGAGCCCTACGTGATTGACCACAACTTCCTGGGCGGGCTCTGCTCGCCTCTGAAGTTCATTTCTGACATTCTTCTAGAGACCCCTCAGACGCATTCTTTGGGTCCTTATCCTGGCATTTTCGAGTTGATAACAAAGGTAATGCTCACCCTGGATATGTTAATTGTTCTTTTTGTTTGTTAGGTTTGCTGCTTTATATGGAGGTATTGTCGTATTTATATGGAATGGCAAAATTTTTGCTCATAATCTTTTGCTGCAAAACTTTTGTCATTCAAACTTTTAGCATTTAGTGTTTAGATGCATGGCAAAACTTTAGCCATGCAAACACAACACGTGCTTCCAAGACGTTTTTTTGCCTAGT